CAAATCACACGACCGCTCGAAAGATGTAGCCACAAGCTCTACTTAGTGCATGTTTGAAACCCATTAATTTCTCTTAAAGTTTGCTATAAGATCATTTTCAATCATATTTACGCAATAAAATATTTTGTACGTATATCAAAAAAACCCTACTTTTTAATCACACATTCTCCTAAAAATAATGTACAAAACTCCTTTTTTTTTCTAATTAATTAGAATCAAACGGGCCTTAAGAAGAAACGTCAACTAAAAATTGCCTCACAAAGTCATGACTAAATATATCAATGCATTTTTCAATAGATTTGACATTGTATAAACTATAAACTCAACCCTACAAATTTTCTAAGGCTTGTCGCATTTGCAAAATAAAAAGTCTACCCAGTAGAACTTAGGATGACCACACATTAAGAAAACCTCAACTATTGACAAGGTCAATCATTCTTGCACGTACATTTGTCAAGTTGAAATAGGTAGAATAACGATCACTCGTCTCACGTACATATTATTCTTAATTCTATTCAATTATGTCACATTCATCATAGTGAAGACTTCATTTTTAATATAGAATAGTTTGATCGTCACTTCCAACGAGAATTATTGATTACCTCAATATGGTTGGTGTACGTGTGTAAAATATATCACAGCATGCAACATGAAAATGAACAAAAACAAAATACAAAAGTAGGATATTTGTCTTCACATTCCTTACATAGAATCCAAGCCCGTTACGAGAAAATTTGAAAACAAAAGGTCAACACAGTGACCAACGCATTACTAATGGAATCAATAAGAAAATGCCACATGTTTGACTTTGGAATGTAGGTTAGGTTACTTGGGGCTAAGGTTCTGACTGAGTCTAGACTTCGGTATAATTGTATGTGCGGTCCATGCAGGGAACCTCGTGCAGAACCTTTGTGAAAAGTTAGTATTATGACTTTGAACTTTAGTCAGCCAAAACCTTTTTGAGTTCTCTCTATTTTTATTCTTTTTAGAAATTAATTTAAAAAAATTGAAGGGGAAAAAAAAAAAAAAAGTTCAAGAACTTTTAGATCCTGCCCTAAAATGCCCCTCCCCTAAAGATCAAGTTTAACTGATTGATAGACCTTTGTGCCACACGACGTATGTCATGTAAGGCCTCATATATATTTAGAAGCATCGTGTGGGTTAAGCTCCACAAAAATGTGGTTTAGCAAAGCCCATAAACTTTCTTTAGATAAGTCAAGTTTAGAAAAGCCGCTTTACCACTCTTCTCCGTCGCATCAATATTTAAAATTGAGTTCTTCATCATTAGAGAGACATAAACATAATTTTAGAGTAATTTATTAATAAAGTATCAATGCAATCAAATGTTTGTAAATCAAGTCTAGCTAGATTCTACTAACGAGAGTTTCGCTAGGTGTTCTTTGAAAAGGAACACATGAGGGAATATGTTGAAGGCAAAATATAAATAAAGCCTCATTTGGTACCTATTTTTGTAAGAATGATAATGAAATATATAGCCGTTACAAGATCCACACAAAGAATAGAAAATCAAATATGGTGATTTGATGTGATAAATAACAGTCATATTTTTTATTTTTATGGCCAGTGAATGAAAATCAAATAGGGGCTAAATATTTCAATAGAAATAATCTCCTACCTATAGTGGGTACGATAAAATATGTCCACGGCTGACAACATTGAATTGTCCAAAATTATAGACTCACATCCAATGGTGGATAAAATAACTCTTACCCACCGCGAGTAGGAAATCATTTCTATATATTTCCATCATCGTCAATCCCCTTAAATAAATTTCAAAACATGCCCATCATCCAATATCACAGTAGTACAAAATATTCATCAAATTAAGCAAATAAAGATTTCTCCGTGTAGATCAAGCGCATCTGATCAATGCACATTTCATCCTGCACTAAGGTACAACTCTTTATGCTGCATTTGTTACAATGGCGATG